TGTCCTCGGTCCGTCTTTGAGTAGCCTTTTTGTTACTGAATTTCAATAGTTTTCTTATGTTCTGGGCACTAGACCTTATCTGCTGTGTGTTTTGTAAGTATTTCTCTTACAATCCATACATTGTGTTTTATTTATAATGTCCTTAATGTACAAAAGGTCTTAATTATGATGAAGTTTAGCTTACCTCTTTTTGACTGTTGTAGCTCATGCTTTTATATACCATCTGTGAATCCACTGCCAGATCCAAGAGGAAGGAGATTCATTCCTTTTCCTTTAAATAATTTGTTTTCATTTTATGGGTGTGGGTGTTTTGCCTGCAGTTATATCTGTGCACAATATGTATGCAGTGCCCACGGAGGCCAGAAGAGGGCCTGTATCCCCTGGGACTGGAGTTAGAAATTGTTGTGAGCCACCATGTGGGTGCTGGGAATTGAACCTGGGTCCTCTGGAAGAGCGGCCAGTGCTTTTAATTGCTGAGCATCTCTAGCATCATGTTCCTATGTTTTGTAAAAGTGATGATTTTAGCTCTTAAACTCAGGTTCTCGAATTGAGAGAACAAGTTAATTCTTGTATAGTGTGAAATAGGAATACAAAATCCTTCTTCTTCTTCTTCTTCTTCTTCTTCTTCTTCTTCTTCTTATTATTATTATTATTATTATTATTATTATTATTATTATTGAGACAGGGTTTCTCTGTGTAGCCTTGGCTGTCCTGGAACTCACTCTCTTTGTAGACCAGGCTGGCCTGGAACTCGCTGAGATCTACCTGACTCTGCCTCCTGAGTGCTGGGATTAAAGGCCTGCATCACCACACCTGGCTTTTATTTTAATTTTTTTAACTGATCTAAGAGCCAAAATGTGTGACTCCTGTGAGATGTGTTATTAGGTGTCAGGTTCAAGCAGGTGCTGAACCTTGAGTCCGGCTAGCTTAGCCACACAGGCATTTCCTAGTCCTGATGGATGCAGAGTCTGGGTTGTTTGGTTACTCTGGCTTGACAGAAACCTCAGGGGTGAAGCCTAACAAAGCTGTCACCAGTTTGAAGTCGCTGTGGAGCAGGTGAGTTCTTTTGAGAGACTAGGAGTTAGACAGACTTCTTGGCAGGCAGACAGACAGGGAGAGGAGCCGTGACTGAGTGATAACGGAGACGAACTTCCAAGATGGCCAGCTTTTTCCTTACCCTCCCGACTTAAGAAAAGAACCTGATAGCTAAAAACAAAGGCCTTGCAGGCTTTTTTCTCCCACCAGCAGCCCCCCTGCTGATGGACTGGCTCAAACCCTGACCAGGAGATGTCCTACAACAATTGTGGGCCAACCAACCATCCTATCTCTTTTCAAGCTGGCCAACCCTAAATTAGGGGAGGAAAACTCCGCAGACTTAAAAACCCCAGCCCTCAAGAAGAGACTGGCTTTTGGCTTTCCAGAGGCCTTTTTCTCTGTGTGTCAGCTGTACGCACGTGTTCCCTTATCCCCAGTAAATGCCTTTCTCGGACTGCTGTTTCTGTCTGCTCCTGTTTGCAGCGTTTAAGATTTCCCTGGTGCTATCTGGCTCAAGATTTTTTCTGCCTTTTAATTTTTTAATTGGCAGGAAAACAAACAAAAACGGAGCCTGATCAAGAACCCCAGACCGGATCACTTTTGCCTTAGTTTCTGAAAGGGAGGAGCTGGAAGGACAGTCCCATCCAGAGAACATCACAGATCCGCTGTGGTTTATAAAACACATGAAATACATGTTCCAACTTACAAAATTTTAAACCTTTACATTTAAGGGGAGTTTGAAAGAATATTTTATGCCAGCTATACTTGTTAAAGTTTACTTTTGCATTGGTTATGAAGAAACTTTGTGTATGTAACTGTTGGTGGGATTTCTCTTTTCCATGAAAATGTGGACTTAGAAAGAAGGGAGTCATACTACAGAGTATCAGTAGGGGTCAGTCATGGTCTGTTCAACAGATGTGGTTTCCTAGGCTGTTTGAGCTTTATTCACGAGAGATGTATTTACCTATTTTGTACTTTCAAAAGGCAGTATTCTCACGAACTCCAGTCTTCTCAAAATTAGTGTACCGTATTTAAACATACACACAATGTGCTTAGCTTGTTAATAACTCTTACTGATGCCTGCCAGTAGCAGAAGTATGGTCTCAGTGTTTGTGTATAGCTCTAACTCAAAAAGCAAAGCAAAAGAAACCCCCAGCTTATCGTGGAATGCTCTCTGATAAAGCCAAGTAGACATCCAGAAATAATTGAAGGTCATGCAAGCTAACCAGAAACAATATTGATACTCCAGCAGATGAAGCTAGGTGAGGCTCTGACGGCATTTTTTCCCTGCCCCAGTCTTTGCTTTAATAAGCCCTCTGCCCTACAGTTCTCTAGTTTTGCTAGATATACCCATAAATGGAAATGTATGTTGTTACTGGGAAAGATACCAATACTAAAAGACTATTCCAGGGATTTTGATAGATCCCCTTGTGACATCTGAGGAAGTAAGTTTTAAATGTATACTGGTATCATGTATACTGGTACCAAATATGAGGATCCAAAACTTGTACCACTTAGACATCAGTGATTCTGTCAACAGTGAGTATTCAGACTCTTCAGACACTTTACAGTGTCCATGTTCAGTGATGGTGCTTAGGAAAAAAGGGCGTGGCTATTATGTATCTAAGCAGTGGGAATGTGTCTGTATGCCTGAATGAAACTATAATTTTTTTGTTTTGTTTTGGTTTGGTTTTTGGTTTTTCAAGACAGGGTTTCTCTGTGTAACAGTCCTGACTGTCCTGGAACTCACTTTGTAGACCAGGCTGGCCTCCATCTCACAGAGATTTGCCTGCCTCTGTCTCCTGAGTGCTGGAATTAAAGGAATGTGCCACCACCACCCGTAATGTTATTTTCTTATCAAAAATAAACCAGTGGGTTTTGATTGTGTTTAGTTTTTGGTTTTGTTGTTTTTGTTGTTTTAAGCTATTCCTTAGAAAAGCCCATGTATTAGTTACTTCTCTAATCATTGTGGCCTATCTTTCTCATCCCCTAAGCTTCTAAGCTTCCTAAGGCTCCACAATCTGCCCCAAACAGCACCACTACCCAGTGACCAAATGTTTAGTCATGAGTCTGTGGTAATATTTTACATCGGACCTTAACAGTCCTTGCCACTTTGTACAAAATCAGTCTATAGCTTTATACTTGATTTTTATTTAAATTTGAAATTTATGTTTGGGAGTATGTGCACCAGTGAGTGTAAGTGTCCAAAGAGTCTGGAAGAGGACAGCAGATCCCCCGGAGCTGGAGTAACAGGTGGTTGTGAGTTGCCCAACTTAGGTGCAAAAGCCAAATATGTTCTGTGTTAGTTTCTTTCGGTTGCTGTGGTAAAACACTGTGAGCAAGGCGATTTTGGTCCGGAGTGTTAGTCTGTTAAGGAGGGAACAAAGGCGTGGCGGCTGCAGCTGCAGCTGAGGGCTCGCATCTTGAACTGCAAGGAGTCTGAGAGCCGACTAAGAATGGCATGTGGCTCACGAAACCTCAGAGCTTTGCTCCCTGTGACATACTTCCTCCAGCAAGCCCACATCTCCTAAACCTACCCAGAGGCACCAACTGGAGGGACATGTCATTCAGTCCATCACACACATTCCTAATCGTTGGCCACCCCCAACCCAAGCACAGCTGTTACTATAACAAGATTGTACAGAACCCAGGATGTCTTTAGGAGTACTAGTAAGGCATCACAGGACAATAGGTCACTTTCTAAACATTCCCCTTTGCATATGTTACTTCCTGTGCTCAGAAGGTGAACCAGAGCGACCCTCCCGTCCACCTCATGCTAGTCTGTTATATTTGTCTTTCAGAATTCATGCCAGACGTTTTTTATTTTTGTTTTCTAAAAGCTATTCTGGGTTCTGTCATTGAAATCTAGCTTACCTTTTGGTGTTTGGGGGATGTGGAATGAAAAACAAAAGCCATATCCTGTGCACTTCTTCAGTTCTCATAGTGTGCATCTTCATGGACTTGTAACCATGAACTTGTAATGTGAACCATGTTTGTGATTTGATACCCAGTTATTTACAGGACACCCCGGGGTGGGACTGTCTGCTCTTTCAACCTGTGAGTGAAATTGTAGAAGTTTCCCCTTGGAAAAGCACCCCTCCCCCGTGGCACGTTTCCTCCATCTGCCACACTCTCTAGAGGCTGCCCTCAGGTCCAGAAGTGTTGGACCACAGTTCTCATATCTGTTCATTCTCAGCCTTCTTGGGTCTCATTCTTTGACAGAAGAACTGGGGGAGAGAAAGGGGACTTTGCGGGCTCTGTGAGGCCACTGTAACAATGCAGCACCAACAGAAGTTCATTCACTCACACTCTGGACTCAAGCATCCAAAATTAGGGTGTGTTGGGGGGGGGGGTCTGTAGACTGTAGACTGTAGAGTCAGTCTGGCATGCCTTTCTCCCTGTGCAGGCTGTTGGCAGTCCTTGGCATTCCTTGTCCACAGCTGCCTCTCTAGCCCCCCGAGTCTCTCATCCATGGCCGCCTTCCTTCTGTCTGTCTGCTGAGCAGTGTCTTTCTTTTGTGGCCATTGAGCCAGAGGGTTCTGATTTCCCTAAGGCATTGTTTCTCAACCTGTAGCTTACAACCTTTTCACAGGGGTCACCTAAGACCATCGGAAAACACAGATATTTACATTATGATTCCTACCTAACAGTAGCAAAATTATGGTTATGATTTAGCCATGAAAATAATTTTATGGTTGGGGTCACAACAACATGAAGAACTGTATTAAAGGGTCACAGCATTAGGAAGGTTGAGAACCACTGCTCTAAGGGATGCTGATTTTAACTGTTTGAATTTACTAAGTGTCTTGTGATTGGTGTAAGTATAAATCCTAAAATGCTGAGTTATTATTTTCACATTCTTAAAATTTATATCCCAAGAAAATAGTCTGTTGTGTTTAAGGTAATTAAAAATGTTAATACTTTTTTTCAAAGATAAAATTTAATTCTGAGTTTTTAATTTTCAGCCAGAAAACCTTGCTCAGAAGCTTCCAAACCTTGTGGAACTGTGAGTCTGTTTATTTAATTTTTAAAACAAATAAAACGATCAAACAAAAAAACAAGAATGGGAATTTTAAGCTATTTGAAATGTGTTGCTTTTGGGTGTGGTTGTCATGTTGCTGCTATGGGTAGACGGGAGGCTTTGCTAACTAATCCCCCGTGGTGTGTTAGAACCTTTTAATGTGTTGAGGTGGCTCAGCTCAGGCAATGAAGATGCTCCTTCTGGGAAGTCTGTGCAACTGGGAGAATCTCTACTGTTGTTCCTGTGTCAGGCTGGAGATAAGCTCTCTGATGGCACGCAGTAACATCCGTGAAAGTCTCTCCCCACTTCCTCCATGTCTCAGTAGTGGCAGTTCTTTTGAAGGTCACCTCCATAATACTACAAAATTCCCCGTTTTGTTTTTGTTTTCCTGCGGTGCTGTGGGCTTTCTGTGTACGTGTGTGAGTGTGTGAGTGTGTGTGTGTGTGTGTGTGTGTGTGTGTGTGTGTGCGCGCGCGCGCGCACATACAGAGACTGGAGTGAGTCTGTTGTTGTCTTTCCCTCTCAGTTTCTACCTTACTCTTGAGACAGGGCCTCTCACTGAACCCTAGTGTATCTTTTGGGCTCTGCTGGCTGGTTGGCCAGCCAGCTCTCAGGGTCTTTCTGTCTTTGTCCTCCAGTTGCTAGGGTTACAGACACATGTAGCTTTTGACTTCTTTGTGGTATTCAAACTCTGGTCCTTAGGCTTGCAGAGCAAGCACTTTTATCACCAAGACGTCATCCCAGCTTCACTTTTTTTTCTTTTTTTCTTGAGACAGGGTTTCTCTGGCTGTCCTGGAACTCTTTGTAGACCAGGTTGACCTTGAAATCTGAGAACCACCTGCCTCTGCCTCCCAAGTGCTGGAATTAAAGGCATGCCCACTACCGCCTGGCCACTTTTGTTTTTTAATGTGTGGTGGTTTGAAAAAGAATGGTCTCATAGGCTCATATATTTGAATACTTAGTCACCTGGGAGTGGCACTATTTGAAAGGATTAGAAGGATTAAGAGGTCTGGTCTTATTGGAGGAAGTATGTCACTAGGGGTGGGCTTTGAGGTTTCAAAAGACCATGCCAGGCCCAGGCTTTCTCTCTCTGGCTGCTGATCAGGATATAGCTCTCAGCTACTTCCCCAGCACCTTGCCTGCCTACTGCATGGCCTCTGCCATGATGATAATGGGCTAAACTTCTGAAACTGTAAGCAATCCCCAATTAAATGTTTTCCTTTATAAGACTTGCCTTGGTCATGGTGTCTCTTCACAGCAGCAGAACAGTGACTAAGACATAATGAATCATGTATTTGTGTTTAATTTGCCACTATGGAAGATAGATCGCATGTATTTCTCTGTACTCATTCATTGTGCGATTTCATTGCAGGAACGTTTTCATTGCTGTTCCTTGCTCCGTGTTATTTGGTCTGAGTATTGGGAAGACAAAGGAAAAGCTAACCTCTACATCCACCTTTACCTCGGGTCTCTGTCATTTGTCCCATCCTTTTTCTTTCTTTCTGAAACTCTTCAAACTAACAGAAAAGATGAGAACACAGTACAGTGAACACCCGCAACCCATCACCAAAATGTAGCGCACTCAGCACTGCAGCCTCAGTTCCCTTCTCCTTCTGCCCGCATGTGGGGTGTGTGCTCTGGGTGACAGGAGAGCACCCCAGGCGCCTGTCACCTCCACCAGGAAGCCCAGTCTCCTCAGTGCTCTCGGGTTTCCCTCCTGCTGAGTGGGTCTTAAGTTCAGCTAGAGAACTGTGGATTACCACCAAGGTTGGAGTTTGTAGATGGTTCTTCATTCATTCATTCATTCATTCATTCATCCATTTTTCTTAATTAGGTGCCCTAGCTTAATCAACACAGGAAGTTGAGAAGAAGTGATGAGCACATGAAGGTATCACTGTATCTTTTGTTCAGTCTTCTCCATTAAATATGTGAGTTGTAGGCATCTCTGAAGTGTTCTGCAGCTGAGGAAGCTGTCTCCACTTCCTGTCTGTAGAGTTTTTTTCTTTTTAACTTCAGAGGGCCTTTTTTTCTTTTTGTTTTGTCTTTTATTCTACTAATATTGTACATTATACTGATCAATTCTTATACATCAAACCAATATTATAATGCTGGGATGACTTCTATTTGGTCATAGAATATAATTATCTTTATATATTGTTGAATTTGGTTAGGTAGTAGAATTTTGCAGCTGTTTTCAAAAGGGATATTCTCTGTAGTCATGTGATTTTTTTGTTTCTGTAGACATACTGTGTGCAGATTTGACCATGAGCTGTTAGTGGTCAGCTCATGATTAAACAGACTTCTGTAGACTTACTGTGTGTAGATTTGACCATGAGCTGTTAGTGGTCAGCTCATGATTAAACAGACTTCTGTAGACTTACTGTGTGTAGATTTGACCATGAGCTGTTAGTGGTCAGCTCATGATTAAACAGACTTCTGTAACTGCTTCAATCCTCAGTCTTTGTGAGTCTCCTGTGAGTGTTGTGACACACCTTGGCCTCTCCATTGTCAGCCACGTGACTCTGCTCTAGCCTTCAGTTCTTGTACCTCTGTAGGGCTTCAGCTCAGCAGATAGGAGAGCCCAAGGCCTTCTTAGTTTTTCAGCTGCTCCTGTGCACAGCTCTGGACTTGTCTGTGTCCCACATGGGCCAGTGGTCTGCTGGGTTGCCAGATCCCTCATGGACACTCCCTACCAGCTTTTCCTTCAGGTTTTCTGGTTTGTGTATTATTTGTTATAGTTGTTTTCTCTTGCCTCAGGAAGCTGTGAAATTCAATAGTTGCCTGAAATTTGTTTCAGTTTAGCACTGGGGACAGAGTTTTTTTGTGCTAGAACTTTTGGACTTAACCTTGCTAATAAGATCTATATATCTATCTTACTAGTGTATATATAAATAAGAACAGCTTTGCCGTCAAGTCTTCAGGCAGCTCTGAGACCAAATGAGTAGTAATTCTTTGGGAATGTGGCTTGGAAAGCCTTCTCACCCAGTTTCCCCCAGGCTACCGCTTTTTAGTCTCGTTGTGAACTCTTGGCTTTCCTTAATTCTGCAGCCCTTAACAGTGGGGTATGGGGCTAGCACACATGAAAACAGAGCTCCCAGGCCACTGTCTGATACTCCACAGCAGTTTTCTTACATAGGTACTCCCTTGTCACTGCAGGCTTTGGGCTAGTCTTGTGTGTGCTGCTTCTGAAAAATTTTACAGTATTCTCATTGATTTTATGGAAAAGAGGTTCTTTATCACTTTTGCTCAGAATTATTAGGGGTTTTTTGTTGTTGTTGTTTTTATAAGAAACTGCCAAATTATTTTCTATATTAACTGTGTCATCTGACATTTCCTTGGTGTGGTAGAACTCTCCCCCCAGCAGGAACTCACAAAGCCCAGCTTGGCCTCAGACTTGCTGTGTAGACAAGAATGACCTAAACTCCTGACCCTCCTGCCTCTCTACCTGCCAAGTGCTGAGAAGCAGGCATGTACCACACGCCCAGCTTGTTAGTCACCGCGCATGAGTGACAGATCCCTGACAGGAACAACTCAGGACAGCGGTTCTCAGCCTCCCAACGCTGCGACCCTTTATATAGCTCCTCATGTTGTGGGGACCCCCAACCATAAAGTTATTTTCATCGCTGCTTCATAACTGTAATTTTGCTACTGTTATGAATTGTAATGTAACTATTTTTGGAGATAGAGGTTTGCTAAAGGGGTTGTGACCCACAGGTTGAGAACCACTAACTTAGGGGAAAGAGAGACTTTGGTTCACAATTTCTGAGGGATTTCAGTGAGGAGCAGGGAAGGTGCAGCAGCCTGGCTCACCTGGGGATGGTAGAGGCAGCTCTCCCATGTGCAGGCAGGAGGCGGAGACAGGGGGATGTAGACCTGCTGCTTCTTCCCAGACCCCTACCCATGAGATGGTGCCACTCACTCAAAGCATATCTTTCTCCTCAGCTAATTCTCACTGGAAATGCTCTCTTAGGCATACGGTGTGCTGCAGTCTCCTGGGTCATTCTTAGTTGGGTAAAATGGACAGTGAAGATTAGCAGTCACACCCAGTGAGGCTTCTCTCCTAGTGTTTGGTGGTGGTCCTGGTTCTTATTCCAGCAGCCATCCTGATGTGACTTGTTTATCACAGTGTGGCTTCATTTGTGTTTCTCTAATGGCTGGAGATGTTGAACATCTTTTCATGTACCCACTTATCATCTGAGCCTTAATTGTCTGTTTTTATGCTCAGATTTAATAGTCCTGATGTAGTCCTAGGTCTTCTTGTCCAGCGCGTTCGTTACAAGCCCTTCTCCCAGGACACAGTTTTGCAGAGGAAAAGCTGTCGCCTCGATGAAATCCATTGTCTCAGTTTCTGCTTCCGGGTACTGTGCTTTGCTCTCAGATGGAGGAGCCTGGGACTCAGTGGTTTTCTCCTTTTTTCCTTCCCTAAGAGTCATGTTCCTGTTGTCTCAGTCACCTCCTGTGTGTTTCGGTGACGTGTTTCTGGGATTAGCGTCTTAGTTCTTAGCCTTTCTATCTTTCCGAATTGTGGAGGTGTTCACTACCCTCTGTCTGCAGTTTATCAAGACCACCTGTTTCTCTTAAATTTATTCCTTTGTGTGTAAGGTATATTTTTCTCCTCCTGATCAAGTTTGAAGAGTTTCCTTTGAAAATTTTAAAATTCATTTCTTTTTGTGGCGGTGGTACTGGGGATGGCACCCAGGACTCTGTGTGCTAGGTGAGTACGCTGCCTGCCATAGAGCTGCCCCTCACAGCCCCAGGAGCCCCCAGCTGTTTACACCACTTTGTAGGGACTTCATCTTGATACTCTCATGGTTTTCTTTTCCCTCCTCTTTGAGTGTACTGAGCTTCGAGTATTTATTTTCTTCACCTTTGGATGATCTTTAACATTGTTGCAGCACATGTTTTAATGCCTCTACTGTCTTTGGCCTCTACTTGTGAGACTCTGGCGTGCTCCTTGGACTGTTTAATACATCCATAATCAGCATGGCTGGCCTTTTTCAGTGTCTTTTTGCAGGTGCTTCAGTTTTGATCAATTGTATTTCTCTGCCCTTGAGGTCAGTTAGTGCATTAAATCCATCCAGTGGTTTTATATATCATGTATTTTCATTTTATATATAGATGTCTTTGATCTCTAGACATTTCATTTTTCTTTATATTTTATAGTTCTTAGAGTGTTCATAATTTTCATCTAAATACCCTGTCTTAGGGTTTCTGTTGCTGCAATAAAACACCATGACCAAAAAGCAAGTTGGGGAGGAAAGGGTTTATTCAGCTTATACTTCCTTTATCATCAAAGGAAGTCAGGACAGGAACTCAAACAGGGAAGAAGCCTGGAGGCAGGAGCTGATACAGAGGCTGTGGAGGGGTTGCTGCTTACTGGCTTGCTCCTCATGGCTTGCTCAGCCTGCTTTCTTACAGAACCCAGGACCAGCAGCTTAGGGATGGCACCACCCACCATGGGCTGGGCCTTCCTGCATTGATTACTAATTGAGGAAATGCCTCACAGCTGGATGTCATGGAGGCCTTTCCTCAACTGAGGCGCCTTCCTCTCTGACTAGTGTGTGTCACACAAAACCAGCCAGTGCAGACCTGGATATGATCATTATGGCTATTTAAATGTCCTTGTTTGCCAATCATTTGTTTAGTGGGTTTATTTGTATCAATTGGTTTGTTTTTTAAATTGTTTACTAGTTTGGGGTCATTTTTCTCATTGGATGATGCGTTTTACAAATTTTCCATAGTCTACATTTTACTGTCTTTTGAGTGTTGCTGTTTCCTGGCATTTTTGTTTGCTTCTTGTATGAGTTTCTTAGAACAGGAGTAATCTCAGATCTAAGGATAGGTTAGCTCTCTTTGCAAAGGCCCCGGGCTGTCTAGGCTCTTCTTTGAATGCCCTGGGGAAGCACGGGGTTTGGCAGTGTGCTTGAATGTGAGCCTGAGTCCAGAGAGCTCTGTGGGCCGTTCAGCTGATAGCTTTTCTCCTGTGTTTGCCCAGGGTTTCTCTTAGGCATGTGCATTTTATAATTTAGCAAAGAGTCAAGAAGGCCTTTAAGTTTTTGGGGCTGCTGTTTTTGGAGTTGGGTGGGGTCAAGCGAGGGGTAGTTCCATTGTTTCCTGAACTCTTTTCCCGTGGCTGCTAGTTGACTGAGGCTTCATAGTGGCTCCATAATCTAGGAATTCTCTTTCTATGCCATAGTCATGAATTTCCCTACAAATAGACAGTTAGGTGATGACGTGACTTGCCTTGCTAGTTCTATTCTTAGGAGACATAGTCTTAGTCACCTGTTGTCACTGTCTGAAAATAGTTGTTTCATAGATCCCATCTGTCTTTTGCTTGTTTCCAGCAAAGTCAGGTCAGTCTGGCCCTTATTGCTCCATCATGTCTAGAAGTGGAAGTCCTGTTCCTTCAATTAAAAAGAAAACTGTTCACCATAGAGTACATTCATAGTTCAGGGCAGTTGTAAAGACAGCACAGAGTGTGCCAGGATACTCCTCACCCAGTCTGCCCTGTGGTTAACATCATGAACTCCATGGGACGTTTGTCAACACTAGGAAACTGACATTACCATACTGAGTAAAAGTTTGTTTCAGTTAATTAAAAAAAACAGACAAAATGACCAAGCCATTTGCCAAAGGGACTATACCCACCAGTGGTATTTGTACTAGCATTGAATTTTATTTCCTGCAGCATTTCAGCAAAACATGATGAAAACAAGTTCCTTTGAATCATGAAGATTTCAGTTACTCTGAAATTAAAAAGAACTGATAGAATTGAAGGTCCTGAACCTGTGACCACAAAAGCCTTACAGCTACACAAAGGCAGGCCCAGGCACGTCACGTTCACTGACCTCTCTGACCTCGCCATGTCCTAACAAGCACCTCCCTATGACCTCCATGTCATCAGTTCCTCTAACCCCCAGAGAGATGTCAACATGCTCTCTTTTGTGATTATAAATTAGGAGACTGAGGGTGTTGGGAATGTCCCCATGGTCATGTGACTATAAAGACACAGTAAAGATAGTACAGTGTTCTGCTATACCTCTCACCCAGTTATCACAGAGGGCTCGCTGCCTGTACTAGGTGGATTCTCATTTGGTTGTATCCTAAAGTTATTTGTGGAATTCAGATTGTGTTGTATTTAATGCTTGATGGATGATCTTTTGAAGACCCTGATGGTTCCAGTGTACAGTCAGGATTAGGAACACTGTAGTGCTATATAGCCTCTTCACTAGACACATTTAGTGTATTAAAATGTGTTTTTAAATTTCAGTCACAATAGTGGATACTTTAGTATATATTGTGACTTGGACATTTTCATAGGTAGAACTCCAGGCAAGTGTTTTATTGAAACAGTTTTTAAAGCCCAGCTCTGCCTCTATTTTTATGTGATGGCATCTGGTTTTTCAGTACAACAAATGCACATTTGCATACTTCAGTGTGTGTGCCTGCACATTTATTTACAGTCTTTTGGCACAAAGAACCTTAATCAAGATGCTTCCAAAGTATTGCGTTTAAAATGTGTAATCAATTCCTATACACAAAGCAAAGAATGAGTCTATTCTAGAGTGTGCCCTTGGTTTAATTGTGTCACATGCTTATCAAACAAGGGCCTGCTGCCTGACAAACATAGACGCCAATACTACAGCATGGACTGTTGCCAAGAGACACGGCTTTGTCACCCAACCAACTGGCAAGAAGGCCAGGGGCTCTAGGCTCAGGCCCCTCTCTATCAGGTGGTGGGATAGTGTTGAGAACATGAAAAAGGGAATGCTGCTTGTTGGTCAGATGGCGGTCAGGTATGCTTGTTTTCTCTCTCTCTCTCTCTCTCTCTCTCTCTCTCTCTCTCTCTCTCTCTCTCTCTCGGTTGTGGGGTTTGTTAGTTCTGCCGGGGAATTTGAGCATGTGATATTGATCAGAATACTCGGCTGCTTCTCTTCATAACCGTTTTTGAAAAGCTGGTTTCAAACCTTAAGAACCATTAGTGAAAAGCCTTTAAGTATTTCTTGGGGGAAAAAGCCTCACAGCTGAGTGTGTCCGGGCTTAGCTGATTTCAAAACCCACAGGTTAGCATCCTGTACAACACTGGTTTAATTTGGCACAGGAAAAGCTTCACAAAATTACTTTCTGTTTTTGTTATTCACTGACATTCACTAAAGATTTTTAAAGTGCAAAAGACGTTTTCTAAGTTATGTTTTAAAATATTTTTGGAAATTTGACTGGTTTGAAAATAAAGTATATTCTAAAATCTAGTTTTCTTACCTCAAAATCAGTAATAAAACCTGTTTTCTTCTCTTCCTACTGTCTGATCTCTGGTAGTCATGGTGTTTGGCTCTGTCTTGTTTCTGATGGTACCTGGAGTCTCCACCAGAGTGTGCCAAAGACACTTCAGTGGGAAGTGTGATGACTCAGACTTGCCTGGACTTGCAGGTCTTTTTAAAGAAGTTCCATTTGCTGAGAAGTAAAATCTCTGTGCCTTGGCATCTGAGTGTCTACAGATGCATAGTGAACATTTAATCCCTGTTCTTGGGTTACAGTACACATGCCAACTAGAGATATCTTTAAGGGTTTATTTTTTTCATCTTTGAATGTTTTCCCTTAAGTATGTATGGGCTGATGTGTGTGCCTGGTACCTGTGGAGTTAAGAAGAGGGTGTTTGATCCCTGGAACTGGAATTATGGACATTTATGAGCCACCAAGTGGGTGCTGGGAACTGAACCCAGGTCCCCTGTAAGTGTAACAAGTGGCTCCTAATGGCCGAGCCAGTTAGAAATGTCTTTAGCTAAGTTACGTTTTAGAAACTAAAATTGGTGTCTCCTCCTACTCACTAGGTATTGATACTTTTCTTACACAATAGATGTTATTCTGAAAAACTGAATAATTCAAATGGACTGGAGAAATTAGTAATCTTTTAATGAGGCTGAAAAATATCTCATGGTTTTTTATATTAATGATTTTAAAATGACTGAGACAGAAGATAGATTTAATATTTGTGATTTAGCATAAGCTATTACTCTCAAAGTATTGTTTCTTAGCTGTTATCTCTGTGTGCTTTGGGTTGACGTTACGGTATGAAAGGAAGTCTTACCTTATATTTGGTAAGTTTTCAAACAGAGCTTGTATTAACTGCTTATCTGGCAAAATACTGGATACTAACAGCTACTTCCCCTGTTGTCCCAGGTACCTTCACTCAAATAACATAGTTGTGGTTCCGGAAGGTAAGCTCACTTGGAATTTTTAGTTTGAAAACTATGTAGTTTGTTTTGCTTTATGAGTGGATGAAATTATCTCTTTAAACCCATTTTGGTTGGTATGTTAGGGAATTTTAATCTAAAGGACTTTTTAATTTGTTGAGATTTATGACTAAATAGATAAGTTTAAAAGGACAATAAATGGCCAGGTAAATTACTAGATAAACTGCTGTCGGGAAACAGTGAAATAAGTACTGAATGGGACAAACTAAGAATTTAGTTACATATAAAATCATATATTTTTTAAAGTTGTTTTGTGTGTGTGTGTGTGTGTGTGTGTGTGTGTGGACAACCTTGTGACTTGTTCCTCAGATGCCTTCCTCTTATTTTTTTATTAAATTTATTTTATACTTTTTGGGGGGAAGTCTCTCACTGGCCTGGAGCTCACCAAGTGGGCTAGCCTGGCTGGCCAGTGAGTGAGCCCCGGGACCCCGTCCATGCATTGCTGGCTCTGGGGTCTAGCATTTTAAAATGTGAGTTCTGGGGACTGGGCTCGCGTTTCCTTGCTTACAAGACAAGCAACTACCAACTGAGCCCGGCCCCAGCTCCTGCTCTTAGTTACCTCGTCTGAGGACAGGCCCCTCCCTATGTCCTGGCAGACTCTACCCTCCTGCCTCACCCTCCCCGGGACAGTGGCTCCTGGGGTTTGCCATCACAGCTGGGTTCATCTTTGAATGATTTATTTAGTCACACATTTCCCCTATTGTTTGGACATTTTTATTTGTTCTTTTATTAAGTTACATTTTATCTCAAGGTGGAAATATTTATCACTTTCGTAACTTTGTTTTCACGCTTTTGTCAAAGATGGGAGAGTGGAGGTTAGAGCATTTCATCTGGGCCCACTTGCGTCACACTCATTCTGCCTTCCTGTCTTTTCTCTCGGAAGCCATTGGGTCCCTTGTCAAACTCCAGTGTCTGGATCTTAGTGACAATGCCTTAGAGATTGTGTGCCCGGAAATTGGTCGTCTGAGAGCGTTACGTCATCTTCGATTAGCTAACAACCAACTACAATTCCTACCTCCAGGTAATCCCTGTCTGTATAGTTTCTTGTGTATCATGAATCTGCTTCTATCACTGTATGCAGTGGGATGTATAAATGTATTTGCAAGTATCTGTTTATTTCAAGATGAAACAAAGGAATGTAGGTAAAACATGACTAAGAATTCTTCTGGTGAAAATGTAAGAAGGTAGTGTTTATCTTTGGCCCACCGCAGGAGTGCGTTATGATCAGTGTCCTTTCCTGTCACTGCCAGGCAAGATGCTTGTATGAGGTGTTTTTGTAAAAATAGAATTAAGAAGTTAATATATAACCTCATATAACATGTCTCACTGCTTCCAGCTGCATTCAGTGCAAACACTTTCAAGTCAGTAAAGAACATGATTTTCAGGGTTTATCATGTGCCACCTGTGTTTGATCGTGCCAGCCTTCAAGTGTCTCTTTTTAGATAGCTGGAGAATTAGATGCTCTTTTGAAGACCGCCTAGAAATGTAGCAACAGGGATAGAAGCTTTCATATTTGGCACTAACAGATGCATAGTAGGGGCTGGGAATGTGGCTCAGTTGATAGAGTGCTTGCCTAGCATGTTTGAAGCCCTGGGTTCAATCCCCAGCTCTGTACAAACCTCATATAGTAATGCAAGAGGATCAGAAGGTCAAAGTTGGCCTCGGCTACATGGGTTCAAGGCCAGCCTGAGGTCCAAGAGACCCTGTCCCCAAAACCAAACTAGAGAATGAAATGCATGGATCCACTGCAGTGTTTGCAAACCCTGCTTATATACATGCAAGGACACAGAGCACTTTGGTTCCCTGTGAGTGTTCCGTTCTTTCTTTCCTGTGCATCACATTTTGTGGTGGAATGTGGTCATTTCCTTCCAGTGCATTCCCAGAAGTTAATGGTGTTCTTCTGACACCACCTGACTGCCTCTTACTAACCACTGAAGGTGTATATTTCCTGACTGCTTTCATATAACTTGTTTTATCTACACTTCCGTTCCACAAGAATTCAGGCATGCATTTTTTATTTTAGTTTCCTAGCTTTTTTTCTGTTGTCTGCACTTGGCTCTTCTTGTTTGGAGTGATATTTTATTCTGTAGCAACTCTGCATTTTAAATAGTGACTTTTTGGAGAGCCTGGAGGAAGTTTTGTTTGTTGGTTTTGTTTTGGACTGGGTTTCAGTGTGTAGCCCTGGATGTTCTGGAACTCCATAGATCCATCCACCTGTCTCTGCCTCCTGAGTGCTGAGATGAAAGGCATGTGCCACCACGCCTGGCCAAGAGTAGGTGCTTTTCTTCCTAGGCATCCTGTGTAGTGCTGGATGGGCCCTCCTGCTTCCTCGCCTCACATCTACACAGCTCATTGTGAAGTTGTTTCAAATATTTGATTGGTTGGGGCCAAGTCTAAACAGCTCCCAAATGTTTGGCTGTGTTTGGAGACATGGTATGAAGAAAAGGAGGGAGGGTCTCAGGAGTTGTTCTTTGGTGGCAGTAGACACTAGCTGATATGTGATGGTGGCTCCTTCTATGTAGTCCATGCTGTTATGTGGCTGTTCTTCATGCTGTGTTCCCTCAAAGGCTTCCCATCTTACTGTGGTGGTATGTTTGTTTGGTGTGTATGTGGTATGTGCTAGCAAGTACATGCATGTATGTGTGTGCACGTGTGTGTGTGTGTGTGTGTGTGTGTGTGTGCTTCATAGCCACTAATTGAAATATGAAAAATATTCAGGATGTAGAATTAACACAACAAGCACACGTGTAAAAGCCTGGCTCTAAGGGTAGTCAGAGCTCTCAGAACTGCTTTTAAGCATGCACACAGTCTTTGCATGTTCAGATTGCCATGAAGCCCAGTGTTCTATCGGATTCTGAAACTTGCCTATGAGTTATGTGATAACTAGAGGGCGCTTCTTGAAAATACCTACCTTTCTACAGATTCTCTTCCCTCTTCTCTTGGATCGCAGAGTACTGCTGTTCTCTGTGTTGTGCCTTTGTCGTCTCATCGTTCAGCTGCTCAGTTGTGGGTGCCTGGAAGAAGCAGGAGCAGTGTTTCCCTGGGAAGTTTGGCAGAGACTGGTGGGAGAGAGAGTGGGGGAAGAATGGGTGTGGGGGGCGTCAAAATCGGTTTCCCTTATTTTCTGAATTATTACACCATATGGTGATATCTTCCCGGGAGCTAGGTGATAGACAGGTATATTCGAATAAAAGAAAGGGGAAGATGAAGTACCAAGTAAGTTGACTCATCTTCCTGTCCTTCAGTATTCCACTCCCTGGCTCTGTTCTTAGTCACGCAGGCTCTCTCTGTTCTTGAGTCGTGCCGGCTTCCTATTTGAGCTAATTCTAGCTGGCCTCTGTGAGCTGCAGCCAACTGCTCCACAGTCACCTCCAAGGCTCGAGCTGCTTGTCTGAGGTGTCAGAGCTGAAGCACACTGATCTCGTCACCTCTGTACCATGGTGTGCCCCACACTCTCCTGTTAATGGTCAGGAAGTCAGAGTCAGCCGTGACATCACTGCTAGCGTGTCCCTGGATGGTGTGGACCGTTCTGTCACCTCTTTACCTTGTGTAATATGCTTGCTGCTCTTCCCTGTGATATCTGTTTTGTCTCACTTGAATGCAGATACTTTACAGCGTGCAGAGAACACTAGGTAAGACAGGATGAAGGAATTGCCAAAGCCTCTTCTGAGGACTAGTCTAGGGATGAATGGAATGTGAATGAAGCAGTGCAGTGTGGTCTTTGTATTTCTTTTGTAAATTAAAACACTTAACTTTTTTTTACTATACACATGCATGTTTTTATGAACGAAGTATATTTAAATATCTTATTATTATGTGAGATACTGATATGTGGGTATGTGAGTTGTGCCATGGCACATGTATGGAAGCTGGGATGACTTTTTGGAGTCGGTTCTGTCCTAAACCTTTATGTGTGTTCCAGGGATCAGACTCCAGCCATCAGGGTTTTGTAGCAACCACTCTTAGCTGCTGATCCATCTCATTGGCCCTGTCACTGTACATTAATTATTCAAAATAAATAGATTTTTGTTGTGACATAATTTTTTCAATTTTTCTTGGTTGAGATATTTTCATCCATATATACCATGATATTGTTCTAATTGCCCCCTACCCTCTACCTCCCACCCTACTTATCTCCATCCTTGCCTCCAAGTAGTCTCTTTTGTTATCATATCACATTTTTTAAAGATGTATTTATTTACTATGTGTACAGTGTTCTGTCTGCATGTAGCCCTGCAGGTCAGAAGAGGGTACCAGATCTCACTACAGATGGATGTGAACCACCATGTGGGTGCTGGGAATTGAACTCAGGACCTCTGGAAGAGCAGCCAGTGCTCTTAACCTCTGAGCCATCTCTCCAGCCCTGTCACATATTTTATTATACTCTCTTGCCCTAATGTATGTTCCCTGTGTGTGACTTCTTTCATTGAGAGTGGTTTCTTGTGGCACTCAGGCTGCCACACATACCTGTACTTTGTTGGTTTTTATTTCAAAGTAGTATTCCATTGCATAAGGATTCAGTTCTTCTTGATGAGCATACAGGGTTTTCAAATGAAAGCTAAGAGAACATAATGGAACATGGCTTTTTGTAGACATACCTTTTTTATTTCTTTGGGGTAAAATATCTCAAGAGGGAAAAAGTTGTTGCTTCATAAGGTAGCTGTACATTTAACTATTAAGACTCTTCCCAGCAGTCTTCAAAGTGGCCGCCCAGTTCTCTCCTCTGCTGTCAGGAAACCCCTGGCCTCTCTTCCCAGTCCTCACCTCAGGCAGCATAAGCCCCTGGCCTCCCCCCCCCCCCCCCCCCCCCCCCCCCGGTGGTCCTGTGTGTTTCTACTGCTTATTTTTAGCAGTGCTATTGGATATAAAAATAGTTGTTTCTTGTTTCATTTTGTATTTGGTTTGTACTTTTCTCTTGCCTGAGAGTGGCAGGTAACTTCTTGTGTGTTTATGGGCTATTCAGAACCTTTCCTTTGGTTTGCAGGAGATAGCTTCCTGTTTGATATGTTGGTGACTGGCTTTTTCCGATTGCTGAGAAATTTTCTTTGACCTGCCCCTCGCTCCAGCCCCGTGAGACCTCTTCCTGCCATCCCACTGGGGCCTGGATTGGCTTCTCTGTATTCTAAAGAGTTCTTGCCGCCAAGAAGTTTGTCTTGGCTTTCTTATTATCTCCATCCCCCAGTTTTCCCTAGCTGAAAGCCTCTGAGTACCCTGGGAAAATTACATCAGAGAGAGAGAGAGAGAGAGAGAGAGAGAGAGAGAGAGAGAGAGAGAGAGAGAGAGAGAGCGCGCGCACCAGTTCACGCATGCACCTTTCAGCCTTTCACAGCTGGACTGATTTCTCATTAGCTTTTGTCTGGGGCAGATTCCTTTCCCTCCCGTTCTTTCAGACAGGGAATAGCAGCCAGGAATTTCTTTTGTTTTAAAATGAGCTTGTCACCTATTGAAGTAAGCTTAGGATAATTGCTGCCTCAGTTGCCAGTGAATTTTAGGAACTACCATTATGTAGCATATCCAGCGTAGTTTGGTTATTATAAGAGAATAGAGAACTCTTATGACTTCTATTTTTTTCTTTTGTTTTTTGCCTTTTTTATTATTTTATAATTTCGCCTGCATGCATGTATGTCTGTGCACCACATGTGTACAGTGCTCACAGAAGCCAGAAGAGGCACTGGCTCCCCTAGAACTGGAGTCACAGATGGTTGTGACCTCCATGTGAGTTCTGAGGCTAGAACCTGGGTCCTCTGAAGAACAGAGAGTGCTCATAGCAGCAGAACCATTTCTCCAGCCCCTTCTTAACTTTATTTTACAGTTAAGGATGTGTGTGCATCTGTGTGCATATGAGTCCAGAAGAGGATGTCAGACCCCAGGAGCTAGAGTTGCAGGTGGTTGTGAGCCACCTAACATGTGCGACAGGAATCAAACTTGCCTTCAACTGCTGAGCCATCTCTCCAGTCCAAATTTTATACTTTATTTAAAACCTTTTTGACGCGCGTGTGCACGCATGTGTATATGTGCATG